TGGAACAGGCTGCCCAGGGAAGTGGTAGAGTCACCATCCCTGGAAGTATTTAAAAGACGTGTAGATGAGGCGCTTAGGGACATGGTTTAGTGGGCATGGTGGTGTTGGGTTAACGGTTGGACTTGATGATCTTAGAGGTCTTTTCCAACCTTAATGATTCTATGATTCTATGATTCTATGTTCATTCTCTAAGTCTTTGTCCACCATGGTGCCACCAAACAGTAGTTTCTGGAGCCTGTGCTGATCAGAGCCCCCTGGCAGAGCCCCCATGGCTTTCAAAAGGCACAAAGCATGGTTTTGTGGACTTTTTTTATATCTCTCTGTGTGGTCGATGAGGGTATTTTGTAGAAATTGCTTGAGAAAGAGGAGGGCCAAGGGAAAGAACAAGGGAAAGAAGCAAATCAACAGACAGTTACTGTGAGAGAGACTAACCTCAGGAAGCACCTTGTGCTCTTTTCAGGGCTTCCTGTAGTATCTCCATTTTAAAAAATCACACAGCTTTTGTAAGGGTAAAACAAGGCTGGTGGTATCAGGTAGGATCTGGCTCCATTTCCGCCGGTGAGCGTGTCTGCACTGTGGGGTCCCCCTGCGCCCGCGAGGGTTAGAGTGGCAGAGGAAGATCACCTTGGAGGTGTGCTCTCACTTGCCACGTGAGTCCCTTCTGCTGGCTGGTTTCATTTAGCCTGCACTGCTGCGAAGGGAAGGCATGAGGTTACGTTTGCTGGTTCCAGCTGACGGTAACCTTTCTCCTCGGCGTGCTGAGCAAGCGATGGCTGTGAAGCTCGCGAGGGACAGTGGCAGCGCACAGCACCTTCTGTGGCTTATTCGGTTATTTTTCCTGGCGTGGAATAGGTAGAATGCTTCGCCTTTCAGAAAGAGGGAGCAATCCAGTTAAGAAGCAGCAGCATTGATCGTGTGCCGCCTTTGCAGCACTGCTTTATGCCACCGTCTCCTGTATAAATACCCGGGAAAGCACAGAGCAGTTCCCAGCAGTGAGGTCACCTTCTTGTACGTGACAAATAGCTTTTTACGAGGTGCTGACTCTGCTTAAGGTTCATTTTGTCTTGGGGCTTGAAATTGCAGCAGCATTATAAGCTTGATCCTCCTCCCATTTAAACGAGCTGTACTATCCAGGATCTGAACTCCCTGTTACAAAATAGGCTTTTAAGATGGCTCGTAAATCACATGCAGCAAAAATGATGCACAAATATTTATTTTTAAAGATAAAGGTTTTCTGGTCTGGAGTACTGGATTTTGTACCTTCAGTATTGAAGTTTAAGATTTGATTTACATGTTTGCTTTTTATTTTAGCTGGTGGGTTGTTTAAAAAAAAAAATGGGAGTAGCGAGACCGTTCTCGGTGAATCATCTAACCCAAGACTTTTATTTGCCCTGAGATGCAGATGTTTAAATGCAATTCCTAAGCCATTTCTGTGACAGCTAAACATATCTGTATTCCTGTCACATTGTTAAAGTGCTGATGTGTCTTACTCTCTTGGGGACTACTTTTTGCTAGTTAATGTTGATATTACAGCCCTCTGTCCATTTCTTCCTCCACTTCAGAAATTCCCCACATGCCCGTTTACACACATCATATTATAGGCAAAAATAATTAATCTGGAAAATCTCTTTGCCTGAAGGTGAAGTATGAATATGTATCAAGTGTTAAGAGAAAAAGAGGGCTGTCAGAAAGAGAGTACTCCTTTCTTTTTAAATAGTGCTTTAAATTAGGGCTGTACTGTAAAAATATTTAAACAAAAAGAAGAATGCGTAGTTTGAACTACCACGAATTCAAGGCTGAAAGATTTGTAATGCAGCGAATTGGAACATCAGTGAAATCACATGCTAACGGTGCGAGATGCTTTCTGCAAAGTTTTAACCCAATGTAAATAGTCCTCAGCAAATTCTGGTAATCTCTAAAACTGAAGTTTATGGCAGAACAGCTACAGCTGTAACCGCACTGGCTGTTGTTACAGAAGGTTGAAGATTGGTGTTGACACAGGAGCTTCTCAACAGATGCATCAACATCAGTGCTTCTTTCAAATGCCTTTCTTAGTATCTTAGCCTCCCCAAAGGTTCGTGCTTACTTCTTTTCGTGATCAGATTCAGTTTCTTTTCCTCCAATTCATTTTCATTTGACAGTCACAAATTCTTTAAGGAGAACCAGGAACTTGCATCTTAAGCATTTAAAAGAGCTGGCTGACGAATCTCTAGATCATTTACCTTCAATATCAATAAACCCGGGAATGTGGGGGAAGCCCCAGAAACTTAATGAAGGCTAATGTTGTTCCAGTACTTAAAGTAGCTAAGCAGGCTAGTATAACTGTAGGTGAACGTGACTGCTGTGCAGTATAACCATAATAGGGTTGATAAGGTGATCAATTAATAATGATTTATAGCTGGGTAATATAGTTAATGGAAGTCGATGAGGGTTTTGATCTTGGCATACCAACTCGATAATAGTTTATGACACAAGTTTATCTAACCAAGGCAAGTGCATTGTTGTAGCAGGCTTTCTTCAAGTATTAGACTCGGTACATACTGTATTTATAAAATAAAGCAATGTGACTTCAACATTACTTTTTATTTGCTTAAAATTGGGGTAACTGATAGGCCTCAGGGTGTTGCTGTAAATGGACTATCTTCGCTGAGCATAGGCAGTTCTGTGGGGATCGTTTGCTGGCCCTGTGCTAATAAACTTCCTTATTTATCAGTGGTCTGAAAGGAAATAAAATTCATTGACTTGCAGGTGATAGATTGAGAACTGTTAAATAAGTAAATGGAAAAATCACTGCTGCAGGGTGATATGGATCTCTTAGCAACCTGGATGCAAGCAAACAACAGGTGTTTGGCCAAATGCAAGGATCCATAGTCCAGACGTGGGTACTGGAAACACTTTTTCATAAAAGGTTTCAGGATTTTTATCTATTTAAACTTGTCAAAGAGAAATTATGGAGGCTATATATAAAGCTGTTTAGAAAGCAGGGTTCAGTGAACTTGGATCTGGTCACGTGTAACAGAGAAATAAAGCTCAGATAAAGTCAGGCTACTTCATTATTGGAGCAGTATTTCAAGGATCGTGGTGTTTTCTCTGGCAACAAGCACTTCTAAATCAAGACTTGAATTATTTCATACTGCAAAATACGCTCTTGTTCAAGCACAAATTGTTTCAAACACGTGCTGTGGACTACATTATATAAAAGGAAATATTTAATTAATTGTTAAGGTCACTTCTGACACAGTGATATATTACAGCTGGTATTTTGGGGCCCAGGATATACACCATGCTCTTGCTTCATTTTTTGCTTCTGTTCTGTTTTTTAGTTCCATTTCACCGTTCAGTATTGAGAGCACAAGGCGTCAGAGAAGGTCGGAGTCTCCAGACTCCAGGAAGCGGCGCATCCATCGGTGTGACTTTGAGGGATGCAACAAAGTATACACAAAAAGTTCCCACCTGAAGGCTCACCGGAGGACGCACACAGGTAAGACTTTTCTGGCACTGTGTACTACAGATAAGACAAGCAGATTCCTTTCTGCCTGATTTAGGACGTATTGAACTCGTCATCCTACGCTAAGAGCTGAAGGCCTGTACCTAAACAACGGAGATGTCTGCGGGTGCGTCAGCATTGGCATTCTGGTGCAGATTGAGCGTGCTTTTGAATTGAACTTCCCTGTCATCCCCACTTCACAGCACAAGAGTGGTCTCGGCACAAACCAGACTCCTTGCAGATGAAACTAAACAGAAAAGTGGCCTCCAGGGTCACAGCTGATGTGCTTCAACGAACAATGGATGGTCATTGCTTGGGACCAACCAGAGCTAGTCCAAAGAAAACCCTCAAGAAAAGCATATAGTGTGGACATGGATCTTCAGCACCATTTTTTTCACTCTACAGACCTGCTCCTGTGGAGCTACTACTTGCTTTTACAGATGTAGCCTTTGAATGATAGGTGTCACTAAAGGCCTTCAGTTCAATTCAAGTGTAAACTGAAGAGCTCAGTGTTTCTTTCTGGAGGCTTTCAGAGGCACCTACCACATACTGCAGGGGGAAGTCAGTCACTTTATGAGAATAGGTTGCATGAGGTCGCTACAACAGAGATGCAAGAGAGGTGCCTAGTTGAGGTGGGTCCCATTGAGTGATGATAATACTTAACACTTAATCAATACCTGGTGTCCTTATTAACTTTATGGGCTGTTACTAGTCTACATGACAGGCATGTAAGGGTAGCTGAAGCAGTGATGTGTAATTGTTGTAATTTTATTGTGGATAAACTCAGGAGTAGCAAATTGAAGTCATGAAGAACAATTTAAAAGCAGATCTCTTGGATGGCTAGAAGGGCAGTGGACAGAACGCTCTGAGTTTCAGTGCTGTTCCTTACTCTGCTGCTGATTTGGTTAAATTAAATTTATTGATCTCTCTGCTCTTAATGTACTTCAGCGTTCTTGTAACTCCTTGGAGAAAAGATGGTGTTTATCCAGCATGTAGCACAATATTGTTCTTTGCTGAGAATCTGCTGGCGCTTTCCGTGGTGTGATGTACTCTAAAGAGTACGAGATATTATTTTAAAAAATTAAGTGATGGCTTCTACATTTCAAATGAGGCCATGTCTCCATCACTCTGTCCAATATGTCTTTTGGTTGGTAGGACTTTTGTTGAGAGGAATACTGAACAAGGCTCCGTCCTAATACCCCCTACTAAACCAATTTCTGTAAGGTAAGAGTCCCTTCCTTAAACAGCGGAAATGTTCTGGTGATCTGGGAATTTCATTACGTTTCCCTCTAGGCCAATTATTCTAGTTTCTTCATATCTTCCCATTAATGCTTGTGCCTCCTCCTCTCTCTTAAGTTACCATGTCTTGTCTTAATTCTTTTTTCCTCTTCCCTGTTCTTCCCATCTTCCATGTGGTCTTCCGTCCCTACCCTTCCGATATATTTTATATACCCTTACCCTTTCACCTTGTTCTCTGTCATTCTTGTTTTATTACTTTTATCCCAATCTAACCCTACTCTGTCCCTTTCCTTCTCCCTGCCCTGATTTCCAAGTTGTTTCCCTATTCTTGCCTGTATCACCCTTTGAGCATTTTATGGCTGTAGCAGATTAGAAGGCAGAGCCCAGCAGAGGTGTGAAACCAGTAGACTCTTTGGTTTGAACCAAAATACCATTTATGTGCTTATACCACAGGGAGGTCACTCTTTTCTAGCCTGCAAGACTGGCAGCCAGCGCAGGAGTATAACCAAGCACCGTGTAAGGAGCTGAGTTGCAAAACTAGATGTGAACAACCTCAGAAATGTCACACCCAGGTTAGACCAGAAATACAGAAGGCTCTTCTCTGCCGTGATGTTTTAAATCACTGAGAATCACATTTGTCATGAGTCTGTAATTCATTAGTGATCTCATGGCAGACCAGCTCTTGTAGGTTACGCACCCAAATCAGTGTTAGGTAGTCTGCACCGCTGAATCTCAGGCTGTGCAGTTAGGGTGCTCAAAACTAGGCGCTGAAGGCTTGAAATGGTGTTGGTAATTACAGCTTTTGCAGCACGAAGGGAGTTTCTGTACCTGCCGTAATCGTAGGATCCATCTCCTCAGCCTTGGTTCCCTGGCAGCTGGGTGTCTAGGCTATACTATCTGTCTGGGATCTCTGGGTAGTCAGAGAAGAGGGATTGGCACCTGTGGGGCACGTTATTCCCTCTTCAGGTAGACCCAGGGATTGGCTTGTGAAGGTGCTTCTCTTTCACTGCTGAGTACAGAGGAAGCCCGGGTACCTACCTGTTAGTTGGCTGAAATGAATCCCCACCCCAAAAGGCAGCTGCCTGAAATATTTTGCAGTCATGTTGGATGTTATTCCTTCAGGGAGAAAAGAAAAATAACCTCAAATCAAAAACCTTCATTAAATGGTCAGCTGTTAACTGCTTTATATTGTCATGTCTTCATGACTGCTGCAATGTAGGAAGTAAAGTGTAGTCTAGAGGCAAGGTGAGCACTGAATTTAGCCAATGGATCCAGTGAGAAAATCTGTATTGTGCTGTTAAAATTAAATGTGTTTTACAGAACACTTGTCAGGTCTTGGTAAGAAGTTGGTATATTCAGACTTACATGTAACATTGGCCATGAGCATACTCTATGTATTAATCTCATCTCACATATTTTATCTTGGCCTTTACTTTTGCTTCAGGCAAAAGTAGTTAATTATTCACATATGACCCACAGTAATTAGTGCAGTTTTGGATAAGTATAAATGAAGTATGACAGCTATGCACGCAAGGGTGAGCAAGTTTCAGTAGGAAACTTTCTGAGAAAAGATCACAGAAACTCAGCATTGCATAATCTGGCCTTTTTTTTTTTTTAGGCAGGCTGATCTTGCTGACAATTGTTTACCTAAGCAGGATGTGTTTGAGAACTATTTTTTTTTTTCATTTACTATATATGCATAGCCACTAAACCATTTGCAGTCGTTTGGATACAGGAGGAAAAACAATGCGTGATTTTGAACAACTTTGTTGGTTGGAAAGTATACTTCTTTTAAGTGTAATTAAAAACAGAAACAAAATATTATAGGCTGTAACAGTTGCATTTAATTCTCTTAGAATGACCCCTAGTTTTTTTTAAGTGTGCTATTGTCTAGCTCCCCAATACTTCTCACCCACCAGTGTCCTCAAAACTTAGTGTACTGGTGTGGGCATGGAGTCCACTGGGGGGCGAGCTTGAATTACACACCGTCTCTCCAACTAGAAAAACCGCAAGTGAAACCTGTAATAGTTCGAGCATTTCATAAATCACAAGCACTGGTATTAAATTTCTCTTTCTAGTATCAGCTTCTTGTTGTTGTTTTGCCAAATTGTCAAATAAAGCTATCAGGAGGTATCGGGTGTGATGGAGAGCCTTCGGGGCTCGCAGGCAATCTCGCAGCTCAGGTCTATCAACTCTTTCCGCAAGGAGAAACTGTGAGAAATTGGCTCACTGGAGTTGTGTTGAGTTAGTTTCTGCTTCAGTGAACTTAAAGAAAATTACTAATGTGTGACTCTACAAATGAGTAATCTTTAAAAATGGGAGAACCAGCAGGCCTGGGTTGCATTCCCGATCCGCTTATGTCTGTGTTGCGCTCGGCGTAGGTGCTGGTATCAGCCCTGGGAATGGGGAGAGCTGTAACTCCTGTTCCCCGTGAGGTCCTGTACCCATGCAGCCCCAGTGGGACTCACCTTCTTCAGTTTGCTCCTTTTACTTTGAAGATGAAGGGGGAAACAACCATAGCATTATTTTATGATATGTAATGGCTATTTCAGCCCTTTTAGGCGGTACTAAAGTTGCCATTGATACTTCCAGTAGGACAGCTGAGCATTGCAGACTAAGTAACACTGGTTGCTTCTACTGTTTTTTTCCCCCCATCAAAATTTCATTCTAAAAATATTTAAATTTATCTTAATGAATTGTTGTTTTCTTTTCTACTAGCCTGGGTTTGTGAAAGATCTACAGACTCTGTTCCCTCTGAAGAGAGATGATGAACTTCTGATAGGTTTTATGTAAATCGAAGAGGCAAATCATGCCTTCTATTGAGAGGCTGATATGGGTTATAAAAACTAGACTTTAATAACTGATCTGTGAAGTTGGTGAAACTGGAAATCATGGGTCTGTGAAAACTGTAAAATGCATTAAATAATTCCATTATTTTGGCAAAAAGGAGGCAGATATTTTCATGCCATAAAATTGAGGACATACATCTTGACCTCCTCTCTAGTTGGCTGGATGTTTCTGAAATGTCAATGGAAAGCTGCAAAGTAGTCAAAATTGTTTGCAGAGTCCCTGCAAAATTTCACTTGACTTGTCATTATTTTTCAATCATCTGTAACTATAATGAAACTAAGTTCTGTGAGCTAGATACAGTGAAGGTGGCAGGACAAAGCCATGCAGTCAGGCCATTTATCAGGTCAAATGCAATACAGTAAAGTCTCAGGTGAAATAATACATTTCATGTATTTATTATTATAGCCTCAATCAGCTTATTAGTTGTGGATAAGGGGAGTGACTGGAAAGATGAGAGGACAGGGGAGTCTGTTTTAGCAAGAGAGGAGAGGGAAAACAAGAACAAACATCCAGGACTCTCTGGGCTAGTTGCCGAACAGTGCAAAGGAGACATTAGAAAGTGAAAACACCTGTTCAATAGACGACAGTGATCATACGAAAAACACACAAACCCTTTTTTATTCATAGTAATTTCAGTTGCCTTGTTAATGCATTAAATAATGAAAAGCATGATTATCAAAAGATGGCAGGTTCTGGCTGCCAACAGAGACACTGCAGGGCAGTGGCTGCTGGCTGTGGGCAATGTCCCGGGCCACGCATGTGGTGGTGCACCCGGTCATGAACAAATTGTCCCACTGGCCGACCACGTGGCTAAAACCTACTTTCATGTCTCATCCACAGGCTACTTAGTCTGCAAATCCTAGCGTGCAATATTCTGTTTTAACCTGAATTGCGGGCCTTTGCAT